GCCTTCAAAAAAGTCAACATCACAAAACTGAGTAGTGATCCCGAGCTGATATCTCGCTTACTCAGACTACATATCATCCCAGGAACCGATAACCTTGCCGAGGGTGCAGAGTTTTCAACTTTATTATCAGACAATGCCAAGCTGGTTGTGAGAAAGAACATCATACACGGTGGATACGATATAGAAGTTAAGGGATATTACAGTTTAATAGACAGGGCAAGGATCACTGGTGTTGGTAAGACGTGGAACGGCGGTGCTGTCTATGAGATAGACAAGGTCTTGTTACCCGAACATAATTCATTTAATGTCGGAATCATGTATTTCGGACTCATCGTTGGATCAATACTAGTTGCCATATTTATAACTTCGGGTGGTGGATTAGGATACCACCATTATCGACAATATCAAAGGAGAAGGGCAGGCTATGAACCGATAGCTTCGTAGGCAGTACAATAGAGAACAATGTTATTTATTAATAGAAGGCTTCCCACACCGACTTTCATTATTACATGACTTTGAACACTCAATATCATAGTTAAAAAAAATCTTTACGCTTCCCTCACTCAAGTTAATCTGTAAATACAAAAAATCCATTAATCCTCTTTCAACCTTATTGAAGTGACGATGCATCTCAAATTTTGTAATTTTAACTCAAGTTCCAGAAAGCATTGAGGGTTCTTCTGATCACCTCCGTCATTGGTTAGGTGTCGATCATATCAAGTAATCATTATTTATAGTTAATATATTATTCCTATTTTTTTTTTTTCTTTTTAAAACATGTATCACCAAATTTTCATCGAGAAATCTCGGTATAGTATTATATCGCGTAATCCTAAAGATTCATGATCTATTTTATTTAAAATAAACATTAATAACCAAAATGACCACACCCGTTGATCATTTATTTATCAATTGTGGATTCAGCAGCGTATATGGTATACATCAAATTTATCAAATATCTTTTCTTTCATTACGAATTTTTATGATTGTCATTTTTACCTTATTTAAGTGTTCAAAGTTCCTAAATCAAAAATCAATCGTTTTTCTTAACAGGATTATAATAAAGTCAGCAGTTCTTCATTGTTTCTATATTATCATCACTTTATTTTTAAATCAAAATGGATTTCTTCACCTAAAACTATTGATAGGTCTTACACAAAACAAATGTTTCCATTTTTCATAGAGATTTACAAAATAATCGATTATTTGTAAGGTAATGAAAAAATTCAAGCAAATATGATTTTCAAAAGGTATCCCATGCATCTGATCATAGAGCTTTAACTTAAAAAAAACTATATTATAATTAATAAAAAAATATTTTTTTTTTTTTTTTTTTTTGAAATTTTAAAATAGTAAAATGCAAAAAATAACAAGTGGCAATTGATTTTTCTTTAATGTGTTTAAAAACTTTTTATTTTTTTAATTATAAGATGATAGATTTATTTAAAAAAATGTTTGTGACAATAAAAAAAAAATTTTATTATTTTAAAAAATGTTTACAATTCGGTTTTAATCTAGTTACCTAAATTTATTTGATTTTATAATGATTTTGAATCATCAAGTACTCTCAGATCTAGATCTAATTGATTGACCATCATTACTTATTCTTTGAAGATGTTCAAAAAGAAAAAACAAACAAAATAATTCTCTATCCATCAGTAGCAAGGATTTACCAGTGGGTGATCCATCTGATACTATTCACTAGAAAATTTACTATAACAAACAAACTAGACCATTTTAGAAATCGTTTAATACAAATATCTAACGTGTAATTTTTCACCGACCTGCAGGCACTTCAATGACTTCACATTCGGCCTCGTGCATACCCTAAAAGTATATATTATCATTCCCACAACAAATCGCAAGTAGTTCGGGTTCAATAGGATTCCTGCAAAATTGCTTTATGGTCATCAATTGTACAATCACAGCTATCAGTTTTCTTTTAGATATATCCCAGATCCATAGGCATTCCGGCATATTGTCTTAAAATAAATGTCAATCAAAAATAAATAAATGCTATTGAAAGAATATATTCAGCTGAAATGATAAATAACTCACCGTTACATGAAGCTATTAAACTTCCAGTGGAATTGAATTTGCAAACTCCGACACCTACTTCCGGGTGCAACTTATCAAGATCATGTTAAATGACTGGAATTTCAATCGATTTCTCGACAAATTCGTCTTAATCCGTAAAGTTTTAATTAATTATTATTAGAATACGATGTAAAGGTTCAAGGGTAGTCGTACATTTAGAAATAGTTCAACCATATTCCTTGTTGTAATCTATAGTTTCTTTCCATATATTCTAACACAATAAACATTTAAATCTTAGCAATAAATTAAAACCATAAATTTAACCATAGAAAAACTTGGAAACTTACTATATCATCATCACTGATGTCGTTAAAATGAGTGAATTCTATAGTCGGTTTCCAAGAGTAATAGTCTAGCAAACGAATCTGTCAAATAATTTGTTATATTTGATTGATTTAATTAAACATTCTTCTGGTGCATTAAATTTTTTATTTAATACCTTCTGGTCATAACTCCCGACTGCTAAGAATTGACTGGAGGGCGCCCACGTGACACATTTTACTCCAAGCACAGTATTCTCGTTGTACTTTTGCAAGCATTGCCCGTCCGATGTGTATATTAATTTACGTCTTCTACATCAACACCTGCCAATTTTGATCTAAAACCATTCTATGCGTCGCACATAACATTCTTACTTCCATATAATGATCCCAAACAGCAACAAATCTTCCATCTGGAGATCATAATAAATAAAAAATTGCTAGAAGAATGTATTTTGAAAAATTAGAAAGAATTCATAAAAAATATAAGTACATAAAAATCGTACTTTCACCAACGTCCAAGCATCTTCACAATAATAGATGCTAATGATATCCTTTCCTTCGATACGCCTTGCTAGAATAAAGTATCTTCCATCCTTGCGAAAATAAAGCCCTTAAGAAAAATATGCATTAAAATAGGAAAGCTTTCAATCTCGATAATCTCGAGTCCTTTATCATTATATTTTGGATGTTGTATATGATACTTTTTTCCAGTCACCAGCGACCAGATTATGTGAAGCTACAAATTGAAGTGTTTAATATTTTTCCAAGGCCTTTGACTTTATTCGATAGGTATAGGTTTTTGTACCTGGAAATTAGTAAAGCACAAGACGTGCCCCATCAAGACTCCACCTTACATTTGACAATCCAACGGTTCCAGCTTCAATTACGGCACTCTACTCGGAATCATTTACTCTTCGAATATTCAAAAGCCCGAACTTACAGCAAGCTGCCAAGATTAATTCTGAATCACGCGTCCATTCAACTTTATTTATAATATTAGGATAAGAGAATATGGATAAAATTTGCAAAGTTGCCGCTTCGCGAACAACTAGTTTCTGTTGAACAGCGGTTACAAGGTATTTCACATCGGGTGAAAATTTAACATTATATGAAGTTTGTTTGTATAATTCTGTAAAGTCCATTTAATAAAAAAAAACGCGAAATTAAATATATGCGCGATTTTAAAAAATACAATAATATAATAAAAATTATACTGTATCAACATATTAAATTATATTAAACTATTATAATTAAAGTTATATACAGTCTGATTCAAAAAAAAACCAGAATTGAATTAAATATAATTTTTAATATACAGTTCGGAACAAAAAAAAAAACACTTTTTTTTTCAATTAATATTTTTATTTAAATATTATAACTGTTTTTTTTTTTAACTATAAAAAAATAAATTTATTTTATTTTTATATTTTGCTAAAGAAATTTATTAAATAATAACTAATAAAATTATATATAATTTTTTTATAATTTTTTTATTAGTAAGAAAATTTTTATTTAAATAATTTATGGTTTTTATATTTTTATAAAGAAATGTTTTTTAAAAATTATAAAAACATTTTATAATTTTTTAATATAAATTAAGCTATTCTTTTAATTATTTATAATTAATATTTTTTCTAATAAAATCTATTTAATATAATAATTATTTTTAATTTATTTTTAAAAGTAGTTAATATTTTTATTATAAATTTTAAATAGATTTTTTAAAACAAACTTATTAATTAATTATATATATTTATATATATACCTACTTATTATTATTTATAAAATATTTTTTTATGATTCAAATCTTTATATTGTTGTAGGAAAAAATGATATGTAGATGATAAGAAATTATAAGGATAAATATATCAGGTATAAATAATATATCAGGTATAAGTGACATATCAGGTATAATAGATATAAAGTAAAAATATATACAAGTGACTTGAGAATAATCAAAAAGTGAGAAGAATCAAAATAGGTACTGCGCAACTATTAAATAAAAACCATTTTTATTTGATAAATTATTGCCTTGTAATTGACCCCAGTGTCACGTAACTAATGGAATTATTGCATATAAAATAACCATTAAGAATGCAAGATTGATGAACTGATCTATGTCAGTATTATAAACTATATATGTGACATAAATTATTTTGCTGTTGACTCAATTCCCAAAAACCTCAAAAATAATTGTGTCATGACTCAATTATTTATATGTTTTAATAATGACTCAATTAATTGCATCAAATAATTGTGTCCATTGTGTCAAGGATCTATGAATTTTAGCAACATGTATATTATAAACTCTGGCCAAATTTACATGCCTCTTTTGAGCAAAAACTGCCTTGATTATTACATGGCATAAGACAGATCGAAGTGACTGACTTGTCATAATTTCATTATAACAATATATTAATTTTTAACAAAAAATAAATTTTTAAAAAATTTTAACAAATCAATAATTAATCTATAAAATATTTAAATAAAAAAATTATAAAAATAATATACATAGTTACTATCTTATAAATTTAATTATTAAAATAATTTAATAATTGTTTTTTTAAAGTCAATATATAGTGTGGGTCAAAAATAATTGAACTGATTTTTTTTATTATAATTCAAAAAATAATAATTTAATTAAGATAAAACTTTAAATATATATATTTTAAAACCTAATTAGTAAAATATCAAAGTTTTATTAATGCTTAATTAATAAATTTATTTGAAAATATTGATTTAAAGTCAAAAA